AAAAACACTAAACTTAATGAACATGCCAGGATGATCCCTGGCAGTGGAATATGCTTACATATACTTTGGAAAAACAAAAAAAAACAAAAAAGTTATTGCAGCTGATCTGTAGTTTTATAATTAATTATAGCATAATTCAGTACATGGAAAACTCTAAGCGGTTTACATGAATTTGATACTAAATTACAAGACAAATAAAAGCGCAATGAAAGCAAATAAAGAAACATGAATAACACAAATAAAACTGTTTGACCACATCCTTAAACTAATAATAACTCAGTTAGCAGTTTAACTTCTACAGTCAAAGGCAGTTCAAAACAAATAGTTTTTTAACTTTGACTTAAAAGAACTCAGGCTTTCAGCACTTTTACAGTCTTCTGGGAGTTTGTTCCAAAATAGTAAAGCGTAGGAACTAAATGCTGCTTCTCCATGTTTGGTTCTAGTTCTGTGTGTACAGAGTAAGCTGGAACTAGAACTACAGAGTGGTCTGGGAGGTTGATACACTGACAACAAATCTGTTATGTATTGAGGTGCTGATCCATTCAGTTATTTATAGACTAACAGAAGGATTTTAAAGTCTATTCTCTGAGATACATGGAATCAGGGAAAGGATTTCAGAACCGGGCTGATGTGCTCTAATTTGTTAGTTCTAGTGAGAAGACAGAGTTTCAGATCAGCTGCAGGTGTCTGATGGACTTTTTAGGCAAACCTAGAAGACACTGTTGCAGTAATCAATCCTACTAAAGATAAATGTATGAATGATTTTTTTTTTCTAGATTTTTTTTTTTCAAATCCTTCAATCCTGGAAATATATTTCAGGTGATAAAAGGCTGATTTAGTAACTGACTTTATGTGCCTCTAAAGGTTCAGGTCTGAGTCCATAATGACACTAAGATTTCAGCCATATTCAGGGGTTTATAGTTGTATTATCTGAAGCTGTGAGCTAGCTCTGGATCTCTCCTCCTTTAGTCCAAAGATTACTAACTCATTTTTCTTTTTATTCAGTTGTAGACAATTTTGGTACATCCACATATTGATCTGTTCTAAACATCTAGCCAACGCTCAGATGGGTTCATAGCCCCCCCCAAATGAATATGCAGTCCATTCAGTAGAAATGTATCTGAATATCGATGACGGCTGCATATTAATGAGCGGACCGAAACATTTTCCATACACTCGTCAGCTAAACTGAAAATTGTTAGGGTTTGGAAAAGGAAAAATGGAAAAGCGCATTTCACCTTCTATGCTGATCAACCTTGCGTGTACAAACACGTTTGCACTTTATTTTAAGATGTACAACCCTTCTGAAGATCAGGCCCATTGAGTCTATTGACACAATAACTCAAGGTTCATGGATGGTGTTGTAGGATTTCTGTCTAAAATGCAATATTTAGATTTAAAGAAAGAATATGTGTGTTCATAGCTAGAGAAGAGTCTACTGCGCTTTAGGCTCAACTAAAATGATCTCCTTGTACTCATTTAACTAATTCATGATTTAATATTATCTTCATCCTTAAAAAGGTTTGCACGTACTGGGTCAATAGAATGCTATTCTAAATGCAAAGAGGAAGGCCTCAGCATGGTTAAAGCCATGCAGGATGGGGTGCTTTATTAATATACACATATATATATATTTATACAGTGGGGCAAAAAAGTATTTAGTCAGCCACCAATAGTGCAAGTTCTCCCACTTAAAAAGATGAGAGAGGCCGGTAATTTTCATCATAGATATACCTCAACTATGAGAGACAAAATGAGAAAAAAAAATCCAGAAAATCACATTGTCTGATTTTTAAAGAATTTATTTGCAAAATATGGTAGAAAATAAGTATTTGGTCAACAACAAAAGTTCATCTCAGTACTTTGTTATATACCCTTTGTTGGCAAAGGGTTTGACAGAGATCAAACGTTTTCTGTAAGTCTTCACAAGGTTTTCACACACTGTTGCTGGTATTTTGGCCCATTCCTCCATGCAGATCTCCTCTAGAGCAGTGATGTTCTGGGGCTGTCGCTGGGCAACACGGACTTTCAACTCCCTCCAAAGATTTTCTATGGGGTTGAGATCTGGAGACTGGCTAGGCCACTCCAGGACCTTGAAATGCTTCTTACGAAGCCACTCCTTCGTTACCCGGGCGGTGTGTTTGGGATCATTGTCATGCTGAAAGATCCAGCCACGTTTCATCTTCAATGCCCTTGCTGATGGAAGGAGGTTTTCACTCAAAATTTGATGATACATGGTCCCATTCATTCTTTCCTTCACACGGATCAGTCCTCCTGGTCCCTTAGCAGAAAAACAGCCCCAAAGCATGATGTTTCCACCCCCATGCTTCACTGTAGGTATGGTGTTCTTTGGATGCAACTCAGCATTCTCTCTCCTCCAAACACGACGAGTAGATTTTTTACCAAAAAGTTCTATTTTGGTTTAATCTGACCATATGATAGTCTCCCAGTCATTGTCTGGATCATCCAAATGCTCTCTAGCAAACTTGAGACGGGCCTTGACATGTACTGGCTTAAGCAGGGGGACACGTCTGGCACTGCAGGATTTGAGTCCCTGGCGGCGTAGTGTGTTACTGATGGTAGCCTTTGTTACTTTGGTCCCAGCTCTCTGCAGGTCATTCACTAGGTCCCCCCGTGTGGTTCTGGGACTTTTACTCACCGTTCTTGTGATCATTTTGACCCCACAGGGTGAGATCTTGCGTGGAGCCCCAGATAGAGGAAGATTATCAGTGGTCTTGTATGTTTTCCATTTTCTAATAATTGATCCCACAGTTGATTTCTTCACACCAAGCTGTTTACCTATTGCAGATTCAGACTTCCCAGCCTGGTGCAGGTCTATAATTTTGTTTCGGGTGTCCTTTGACAGCTCTCTAGTTTTGGCCATGGTGGAGTTTAGAGTGTGACTGTTTGAGGTTGTGGACAGGTGTCTTTTATACTGATAACGGGTTCAAACAGGTGCCATTAATGAAGGTAACGAGTGGAGGATAGAGGAGCCTCTTACAGAAGAAGTTACAGGTCTGTGAGAGCCAGAAATCTTGCTTGTTTTTAACTGACCAATTACTTATTTTCCACCATATTTTGCAAATAAATTCTTTAAAAATCAGACAATGTGATTTTCTGGATTTTTTTTCTCATTTTGTCTCTCATAGTTGAGGTATATCTATGATGAAAATTACCGGCCTCTCTCATCTTTTTGAGTGGGAGAACTTGCACTATTGGTGGCTGACTAAATACTTTTTTGCCCCACTGTATATATATATAGATATAGATATATCTATATATATATATAGATATATATATATAGATATAGATATAGATATATCTATATATCAGGAATATTGTTAGTATCTTTACTTTGGGAGGATGGAACATACTTTTATGAAGATGATTTCTGGGACACCTCATGTAAAGTCCAATAGAACATGCATTTGAAAATCCACATCACCCAAACTTTCGAAGCAAAGCTAACTTTAAGCCATGCTGACATATATCCAAAAATTATTTGTCCTGGTCTTATTTTTATTAATGCTTTGAGAGTTTTATGGACGTTACCCTGACAGACATTACATAATGTTTACAGCTGTTACTCTAAGCCATCACTCGCTTGCAAATCTGCCTTACATAATCTGTTTGCTGGTAGCTGTAATTATTGAACAGATACAGGTTATATTTTGTAATAGTTTTTGTGACTTTGAGTGCCAAATTAGTTGTTTTTGACACTCCAATGGCCGTTCCGAAAGAGAATGCATTTAAATATTCCAATTAGTTGTAACATTACTAGTCTGTTTTTGTACATTGATTTTAGCTTCCTTGACAGGTAGAATGTTGTTCTCTACTTTATTTGATGCGCAACAGCACCAGCTTATGTTACCTAGCTGTATGAGTGACAGATCGAAAATTAGGGGCTACTTGTTCATAACGTTGAATCAGACTCATAAGCCCTGAATCCTCTTTTAATCGACTATCAGGCTTACCTGCTATCTTGTCTATAGATGTTGCAAAAAGTGAAATGTAAGGGCATTGCTCACCTAAAAGGGGAGTTGGACACTGAAACTGTTGGGCTCTTCAGCTTTTAATCGAAGTGGGTTTTTTCTGTTCTCCCTGCTGGCCTCTTGGAAGAGGTTTCGAAGCATCCAATGCAGGGCCAGCAGATTTTGCAACAGCTTCTTCCCCACTGCCGTTAGACTACTGAACGTTCAATAAAACAGGGAAGAAAAAAAAAAGGGCTGAATGTTGTAAAAATTCTAAAACATATCTCATTCTTGTGTCTACATTTGATCACCATATTTACATTTTATCACTGCTACACTTTAAGAAATGGAAATGTCTTGAGAGCTGTACTGAACGAAATTTCGTTTTGTATACACCCTGTGTGTACAAAATGACAAAGTTTGTCTATTGGCACATTTTTGTGTATCGTTCTTTTTAGATACCTCAAACCCTGCCCTACAAAATTATATTACATGTCAGCCTAACCCTTAAAAAGTGTTGAAGGTTGGAATGCTTGTCCATGTCTGTAACATCCACAATGCTGGGCATTTCTTTTCTCAAAATCCAAGTATTCAAATTTTATATTGCAGGCTTATCTTTATCTCAATAACTGTAACCAATATATATAATTTTTTGATTCAAATCAGTGCCTTGTCAGTGCTGAGCTCATTTTCCAATTATCTTTCTGAATGTAACATCCATAAAACTACAATTGCCCAGATTATAGTTTTCCAGCTTTTTAAAGATTATAGTTTTTCTTAATCAACATCTGCATGTGGGTCTGAGGTGTAATTGCACCAGGAAATATATATATAAATAGCAAATCATTGTTAGAATGAGCTCTGTTATCTCCAATTTCCATCCAGAAAGTTTGTAGTCTGGCAATAAGACTGAAAAATGTATATATCTACAACTTGTACAAAAGATTCACTAACAATGAAGAAATAAAGTTTTATTTTTTTATATCTGACTAATATTCTCTGTTCTCTGGCTGTTTATTTCATTTGTAGGGAACATCTTTGTGGTTAGCCTGGCTGTAGCAGACCTCGTCGTGGCCATCTACCCATATCCTTTGGTCCTCACCTCCATTTTCCACAACGGATGGAACCTTGGTTATGTCCACTGCCAGATCAGTGGCTTTCTCATGGGTGTCAGCGTCATTGGTTCCATCTTCAATATCACCGGAATCGCTATCAACAGATACTGTTACATCTGTCACAGCCTCAAATACGACAAACTTTACAGTGACAAAAACTCTGTCTGTTATGTGATTTTGATATGGATGCTGACTGTGGTTGCCATTGTGCCAAACCTGTTTGTGGGTTCCCTCCAGTATGATCCACGAGTTTATTCCTGCACCTTCGAGCAGTCAGCCAGCTCAGCGTACACAATCGCAGTGGTATTTTTCCACTTTATATTGCCCATTATGATTGTCACCTACTGCTACCTGCGTATTTGGATATTGGTTATACAGGTACGGAGACGGGTCAAGCCAGACATCCGACCCAAACTAACACCGAATGATGTCAGAAACTTTGTCACAATGTTTGTGGTGTTTGTGCTCTTTGCTGTTTGCTGGGCACCACTTAACTTCATTGGCCTGGCTGTAGCAATCAATCCAGAGGTTGTTGTTCCCCTCATCCCGGAGTGGTTATTTGTGGCCAGCTACTTCATGGCTTACTTCAACAGCTGCCTTAATGCCATTGTATATGGTGTGTTGAACCAGAATTTTCGGCGGGAGTACAAACGTATTGTGGTGTCAGTGTGTACAGCCCGCATTTTCTTTCAAGACAGTTCCAATGACGCAGGAGAGAGACTCAAAAGTAAACCATCACCTCTCATGACCAACAACAACCAGGTTAAGGTGGAATCTGTCTGAACCGAAACTCAGAGACTGGATCTTTTATGCTGGATTTAATTTGCCCTATTTTTTAGACTAACTGACAAATATAAACACAAACAGGCTTCTTTCCTCTGGGCTGTCAAGACTGTCACATTGTAAGGTGCTAAATGACCTCCAAAACAATCACAGTAAAAACTTGGGTTTATGTATTGTTTTTATAAAACACTTGGAGTTCTTGTAGAAAGTAAATTATGACTTTTTGCATTTTCTGTTTGGATTGGTGGTATTAATGTAACGTTCACTATATTATTATCGATTTAGTTTGTATAAATATATACATATATACATACATATACATACATATGGACATATACATATATATTAGGGCCACAACTAATTTTGCAAATCGATAAAACTGTTGATTATTTTTTTTAATTATTTGATTAATAATTGGATAGCCAAAGGTTCCTTAAAGGATATTGTTCACGAAATTAAACCAGGTGAAACTAAAACTTTTCCTCTTGTGGAGTTCTGGATTGAACATATTGACAGAAGAAAAAATTTTTTATATCTTAAATCCAACATGTTTATGAAGTTTTTTTTTTACAACTTTTATACAATTACTGCTATAAGTATGTTGCTCTCTAAGTTAAATGAATGTTTTAAAGTCTCTATACTCCAGTTAACAGTTAATCGATTGCTACTTGATTATTGACTATTATTTTAATAATGGATTAATCACAATTAATTGTTTCAGCCCATATATATATATATATATATATATATATATGTGTGTGTGTGTAATTTACTTTATTATTTTAACTCTGCTATAGCTAACGATATGAAAGTTTTAGGTTGTCTTTAGGTAATATTTTGGGTGCTTCATAATTACACATAAGCACAGAGAACAAACTGCTGGGTCAAAAGATAAATGGAATGTTGATCAGTATTGGCTTTGGATGGGCATCAATATGCAACACAAAGAAAGTGAGGACAATAAAAACTACTTTACAGCAGGTTGGAGAAAAGCAATGTTATTCATAAGCAGTCAATGTTGTATTGTCTCATCATCTGTGTAGTTCAAGTCAAATATTTTTGGTTGACAAGACGGTGTCTCTTGGATAAACCCGAGCTTCCTCCTTCCCTATGTAGAGTGAAAGAGGACAAAATAAATAGGTGCAAATGTATTCTGAAAAAAATGTCCACTGAAATTATTTAATGGATTATTAAACTTATTGAAGTTATTTTCAACTTTGTCAGCAAAAATATGGACAATAAAGTAATAAAAAATAAAGGGAAAAGTTACCTTGTCTTTCTCAGTGAGAAGCAGTCATACAGATTTCTGGGTTTCTATAGAAGTGTCACTTTTCCATCCCACTAAGTTTGAAAAGTGAAGTTAACAGTTTGAAAAAAATGAATGATGAGTCTGCCGGGCAGGGACCATTAAATAAATGAATACAGAGAGAAATGTTAAATGTAAATGAATGTATTCATTTAAAATATACTATTTTTATTTAGGGTCAATTAAAAGGGTTATTTAATTATTTAAGGGTACATTTAACAAATTGATCTTACAGTACATTTAAAACTTAATGGTACATTTAATCCTTTAATTTTATATTTCATAATCTAATGATCAAGTGTTTAATAATGAATAAATTTATTCATTTTATAATACATGCAAATATTTTTATTTCAGGAAATATTTATTTACTTATTTCTTTTGTCCTCTTTAACCCTCACTATCCCCCAGTGGAAGGCAGAAAGTAGGTTTTTTAGAGATGAAGTATACATCGGTCTGGCAACTATGTCCAAAAATCCCACCCAGACAATAAGGAGAGCTGTTTGGGCAGGTCAGCCTTCTCCTTTTGCACATATCAACATTATAACCCTCAGATAAACAAAAGCAAGACAACTACAGCTAGGTAGAAATAACAAAACTGTATTGTCATGCAATTGGAAAGTAGCTTTACCTTTATATTTGATTTTATTATTTTCATGTCTGTGACAATGTCTAAGAGAAATACAAAGGAACGATTGTGGTAAACACTAAGTATTTGGACTTCCCTTAAAGAGACATTTTGTACGTTTTTACTGTAAAATAACTTTAAAATTGCCTTTTTATTTGACCTTTTACATCTAAAACATCATTTGATGAGCAGACTGACATCTTAGTAGTTCAGCGCTGATGCATTTATAAACCTGTAGCCTGTTTTCCCTGAATGTAGTTTGGGTTGGATGTTCCCACGCTGTTCTGCAGATGTTACATCAAGCGTGTCCACGTTACATGGGTCCAACCTGGCAAACAATCGAAGATTTTGTGGATAATCAGCCACTGGAATCCAGCTCAACTCAGCCACCAATGGTAATGCCATGTAAGGTTAAAAAGGTAATATAAAAAAACAAAACCTTGTCAAGTATGAGCATAAGTACTAGAAGGAGCATAAGAGTGCTGCAGTTCTGTTTTTTGTGCACAGGTTGCAGTATCATTACAAAACTCCATAATGCCACTTTAAATGTGATATAGGCATTTCTACAGTAATTATTTGATCAAATGTATAATGCAATTAATCAAAATGATCAGTTTCAAAAAATGAATCAGATTCTAAATTAATTGAAAGTAATTTTATGCAATAATCTTATTTCTAGTTTTTTATCGTTGCCTAGCACCTGTGTAACAGTTCACTTCTGTCTGTTTGTCTGTATGTCTGTATATTTGTGTGTAGAGTTGAGTGTGTGTATGTAAAATCACAACTTCCCATGGAATATTCCACTTTGTGTACTTGCAGGGACCAATCAGCTGGTCCCCAAAGTACCTTTTTACTAGACTGGGCGAATCCATGAGTAAAAGGTTTGGGCAAACTTTTGTCATTCTTTAATCAAAAATTTTTTTTCTTCTATTATCTTTGATACATATGTAAAACTTTAGAACTATGACACAAAATTATATGGAATAATTTAGCAAAAAGAATAAATAAAATAGCTTAAATCATCCTCAGAGTCTTTAAAGTAGCTTGCCTTCATTTTGATTACTGCTTTGCACACATTTGACATTCTGTAGGTTAGCCTCCTTAAATAGTAAAGAAATGGTTTTCCAATTATATTTTAAAGGATTTTCTAGAGGTATTAATAAAAATAAACAATTGAATGACAATGTATGTCCAAAGTTTTGACTGTTAGTTTGTGTTTTTATTTATGTATGGCCCTGCAGTTAGGGTCAGAATAAAATAAACTGTGGCCAACATTTTCTCATGTTTGGAGAAAAAAAATACAACTATGAATTTAGCTAATTTGAATAATGCTATTTGTGACACAGTACTACTTGAGAACAGGCAGTATGGGTTTCTGCTGTGTCTTGTTATACCTTACAATGTTGTTCTTTATTTTAGGTGTAATATAAAAAAACTATCAAGAGATATTTCTCTACAACCTGTAAACGAATTATATTGTATGCATGAATATGAAAAAAATAAACTGTGCATATGCAAAATAAAACAATTTTCTATGAGCTTCTGGTTCGCATATTTGCTTTACCATTCTATTCACTTTCTTCCAAAAACCCCTTTATGATTTGTTTTTATTGATCATTGTTTTTAGATCAACCTTCCAACTTTCAAAAACCCTCAAATTTTTAACCTGACTCCGCCAGATAGATTTGCTCCGCATATCCATCTGGAAACCTTCCGTTGAAGTAATTTTGGGAAGGGGCGAAAATACTGGTTAGCTGGTAGGCCTATGTTGGTGATAGATGAGCCAAATAAACCAATCAGATCAACGAAGCATATGACGTATTAACAGAGCGACGACGAAAAACACAACCACAAGCCAGGCTACTCTTGCCGAAACCAGTCAGGAGAAGAGCAAAAACATCTTTTCCTCTGAGAAAAGCCTCCAGAGCAGTGTTTTGCTCTTCTTTCAGTGAAGAAATACTCTGTAAGTCCGATAAAACTTGCTCGATGGCCACGCTAACCGCTAGTTTCATCGGCTGAACCCGCCATGTTCTTTAGACTGAACTGTCGCGCTTCTCGTTGTGTCACACCTCAACCCGCCTCAAAGCCAACGCTGATTGGACGTTCGTTTGGTGAACGGCTCCAATTTTTCTTTAACGGAGTCTCCAGACTGATCTGCTAATGAAACCTTGAAGGCTCGCGAGATCAGGATGGTCTCACAAGGCTAACAAATTTTATGAAGATTAAAAAAAATAATTTTAGATTAAGGGGCAGAGTTATTACCCAAAATAGTTTTGGTTTTCTTACTCCAATCTAGTAGTGACTAAATATGTTTGCCTCCACAGAAATCGTAATAGCAATCATTAAACAGCAGACTCTTTTTTAAAGTGGTGAATTTCAACAGTAGCGTGTAGCAAAGCCACTTCAACTTGCCACTTCGGGCTGTTGAATTCTATCAACATTTTTTTATTGTAGCTTTTTCAGTTTGCATCTGAAATAATTTACGAATTAAAAGCAGACACTTCAACTGCTATGACCTGATCACAGTATTGTGCTTACTGATCTGTTTTTGAGTATCGTCACTTTAGGCAGACAGTTCCTGTGAAGAACACATCTATGAAGCAGTAGGTGTCATGATCTGGCCTGTTTGCTCTACCTTAATTACCGTAGTCATTCCTTTCACCTGCCCTCTTCCTTCCCAGCCTCGATTATAATTTATTCCCCTCACTTGTTTCCTCTGGTTTATATTCAGTTCAGCCTGAGAATTCAGTGCCAGATCATTGCTTGTCTTTCTGTCAGTCTTTCTGTTCAGTTTTTATTTGATTCATGTCCTGGATCCTAGCTGCCAGTGGAAAGAGGGTTTTAGTGTTTGTCTCGTCTCCTGATCGTCCACTGTTCCTCCCCTGCGGAGTCCTCTGGGTTTTTGGCTCATTATGGGGGGAGGTTCAGTTTTTATCCAAGTAAGCCTGGCTCCAGGTAGGAGACCAGTTTAAAGTCCTGCTTCAAGTTCTGGTTCCTTCGTCCAGTCTCGGCTACCCCCTTCCACTGTGCCTGCTCATCTGCACCTGATCCTGCCTGTTCCTGTCTGTTCTGGATCCCTCACCAGGATCGGCTTCCAGCATCACCTCTGGGACTGCAGCACTGGGGACACTCGTG